CCAGGATGCCCATATATTAAGGAACACCTCTCTCAGAAAGTTCTAAACACCAAGAAAAACTTTCTGACAGTAGGAACTGTTCGACAGCGGAAAAGACTCGCCCGGGAGGTGGTGGACTCTTGTAGGAGCCAACTCCTAGGGGCTGTGGGGGCTTCGGCCCCCACAATGAAATATTTGAGGGGGGGTCAGGCCTCCACAAAGTTGATGGGTATTTCCCTTCATATAGGGTGTGTCAGATGGCAGTGGTAGTTGCTCGTGAGTAATCAGTCGGGACTCAGACCTGTCTTTTACAGGTTTTATTTTGGTGCAAAACTATTTACAGTGCAGAACCACAAGTTCATGTCTGCCGCAATCGCTAGCAGAATCCGGGAGTGGTTGTTTCCGGGACCTCCCCCAACATAAGAATTTCGTCACCCCCAGACTTTTCCTTCCTTCTTTGCATTTTACACCTCTGCGCAGGGTGGGCGCAGCGTGCTTCCCTCCTGGCCAGCTTGGCCAGGAGTGGTGCTGAGGCTCCCAGCACCATCCTCTGGTCCTTTCCCCTCTTCCCCACTGGAGGTGGGGCTTTCCTCACCACTGGAAGAGGAACTGCTTCGCAAGATTTTCGGAGGTTCCCTGTAACCCAACTGCCCCTCTGCTTCCCTTCCCTGTTCCGATGGCAGTACCCTGACAGGGTGTATGTGCACTGCATAATGTGATTGATTATGCAGGGTGGGGCTTACCTGGGGCCTCACAATATTTTATTCAAGCTGGCACCGCTGCGAACCCTCCTTTCTTGGAGGTTTTAGGCAGAGGTTGGATGGCCACCCAGTTGAGATTCCTCCATTGCAGAGGGTTGGGCTAGACTATCCTCAAAATCCTTTCCAACTCTACACTTCTGTGATTCTATGAATCTACGAACCGACTCAGACCCTTAGATCTTCATCTGAGGGACTTCTCTGTATCCCTCCTCTGAGCACAGTTCAAAGGGTCATAACAAGGGAGACGGCCTTTTCGGCTGAGGCTCCCCACCTGTGGAATGCTCTCCCCACAGAGGTTGACCTGAGACTTTTAATGCCAGGCAAAAACGTACCTTTTCCCCAAGCCAATGACGGACCAAATTGGTTAGGTTTTGTTAATTTGCTTTCAAATTTTCAAGACATTGGGGGGCTGCTTTGAATGATAAAAAGGTTAGTGTTTTATATTGACTCCCCTTTTTTATGGTAGAATGAATTTCTGTTTTGAAAAAAATGTAAGTCACTTGGAGACCTTCTTAGGTAACAAGTACCGTATTTTTCGCCCTATAAGACGCACCTTTCCCCCCCTCCAAAAATGAAGGGGAAATGTGTGTGCGTCCTATGGGGCGAATGCAGGCTTTCGCTGAAGCCTGGAGAGTGATAGGCGTTCAGCTCTCCAGGCTTCAGGAAGCTATCCGCAAGCCTTGCAAGCCCGGCGGGAGTTCCCCCGGGCGCACAAGGCTTGCGGGCGGCAACCTGCAGCCCGGAGCACGGGGCCCCCTCCGGAGGACGCCCCGTGCTTCGCGCAGGTGTCTGCAAGCCTTGCGCCCCCGGGGGGAGTTCCCACGGGCTCGCAAGGCTTGAGGGCGGCAGCCTGTTCTGGGGGCTGTGGTCGGGGGAAACTCGGGCTTTCCCTGCCCCAGCCCCGCGGCTGGAGGGGGGGATAAATTTTTTTTATTCATTTCCCCAACAAAAAACGAGGTGCGTCCTATGGGCCACTGCGTCCTATAGGGCGAAAAATACGGTAACTAATATGTTCCAATAATGATGATGCTGGAAGGGGAATTAACCTAAAAGGGGGGGGGCATATTGGGTGAGTGCAAGTGCCTTCTGCCCACAAAAGAACACTTCTGGGTCCAAGGTATGCCTCAGCTTCACAAAGTGAAAAAGAGTTGCCATGATGATACATGTTAAGCACCTAATAAACACAAATGCTATAATGATTATGCGCAAGAAACTTTGTGTAATGTTTGAAAGTGCGGTGAGTAGAAAAAAAGTAAACACTGAGATAATATTGTCCCTCTCATGTACAGAAAAGCTACAGAATCAAGTTTGGAAGCAGAATTAAAGTAAATTATCAAACCTTCAATTCTAGCATGCGGGGGGCACCTAAATTGTGTAATTGGGTATTTGACTGATTGATATTGGAATTGATATTATAATTTGGTATTGATACAATGAGGCGTATATTGGATTATTGTTATTGAAAATTAATAAAAATTATTTATATAAAAAAAGAAAAGCTGCAGAATCCATGAGCATGTGTAGTCCAATAAGTTACCCAAGGCACAACAGCGTGTCAGCATTATTGACCCAAACCCTAGTGTGCAACCCAGTAAAGTTGATACGGTGGGAAGCAATGGCATGTATTGTGTAAACACAGAGTATCAGGGTTGTGGACCCTACAGAAGCGTTAGATTGGTGACTGGGAGCGGCCGCCAAGACCACATAACACTGGTCCTGAAAGACCTACATTGGCTCCCAGTACGTTTCTGAGCACAATTCAAAGTGTTGGTGTTGACCTTTAAAGCCCTAAACGGCCTCGGTCCAGTATACCTGAAGGAGCGTCTCCACCCCCATCATTCAGCCCAAACACTGAGATCCAGCTCCAAGGGCCTTCTGGTGGTTCCCTCCCTGTGAGAAGTGAAGCTACAGAGAACCAGGCAGAGGGCCTTCTCGGTAGTGGCACCCACTCTGTGGAACGCCCTCCCACCAGATGTCAAAAAGAACAACTACCAGACTTTTAGAAGACATCTGAAGGCAGCCCTGTTTAGGGAAGCTTTTAATGTTTGATGGACTACTGTATTTTAATATTTTGTTGGAAACCGCCCAGAGTGGCAGGGGAAACCCAGCCAGATGGGCTGCGTATAAATTATTATTATTATTATTATTATTATTATTATTATTATTATTATTATTATTATTATTACAGTGGTACCTCGCAAGACGAATGCCTCGCAAAACAAAAAACTCGCTAGATGAAAGGGTTTTTTGTTTTTTGAGCTGCTTCGCAAGACAATTTTCCCTATGGGCTTGCTTCACAAGACGGAAACGTCTTGCAAGTTTGTTTCCTTTTTCTTAACACCGTTAATACAGTTGCGACTTGACTTCGAGGAGCAACTCATAGAACGCGGTGTGGTAGCCTTTTTTGAGGTTTTTAAAGACTTTGGTGATTTTTGAAGCTTTTCCAAAACTTTCCCGACACTGTGCTTCACAAGACGAAAAAAATCGCAAGACGACAAAACTCGCGGAACGAATTAATTTCGTCTTGCGAGGCACCACTGTATTATTATTATTATTATTATTAGCAAGTGCTATATAAGTCTGTCTTCAAGGCCTTCTTGGGTGTTCCTAGCTCAGCAGATTCTTCAGCCAATGTGCCATGAAGGCTCTAAAAGGAAGCTTCTTGGTCTTGGGTCACCAGCATAACAAAGCATAATGGCTCCTTTGAGACTATTCTTCTTCAGTCAATGTTGTTGCCACACTGGCAATACTTGGGGGATTTATGTTGTAACAGCACATCGCAACCACCTTGTGAAAGTAAGCAACATATATGTTTTCCAGAACGTAATCCCTGTCGGTCTTTGTGAGTTACTGGTAGTGCTTAAGTATGTTATTCTCCAGACTGAAGGTCCATAACATATCTGACAACACTATCAAGCCATATTGTGACTTTGTAAAGGGCAAAATGTGGTTGAAAACTGCTAACTATCTTTAAAAACCACCAGTTATTAGCCATTTAAAACACATACATACAAACAGAAAACATCAAAATTTAAAAATAAATAAATCTGCTTTTGAAATTATATTAGAGAGACACCCTTTTATAACCCAAATGACAACTGCTAGGATGCTCCCTGGTTTAAAAATATGCTTTAACTAATCATTTCCATGAGAATGTGAAAGAATCTGAATGAGATTTACTCCAGTGATACAAATGGCTCAATGTGCTACTAATATTAAAAAAAGAAAAAATAGTACCAAGCCTATTTCCTCTTTTCTTCCATAAGTACTCTGTGATGCAAAGCACATACGGAGCTCATCACACCTAAATGTTTAGAAGAATAGAAATGAGAAGAAGGTAATTAAAATTAGGCTGTTCTAATGCCCTTGTGGGAAACTAGTACGTCCTAATATTGCATTTTGTTACAACAGAGATAGAGCAAAAATCCTAAGTATGAATAGGTCAAACTTGTTCCCCTTAGGGGAATGTATGTGGCCTTTCATTCCTTCATGCATTTCCCAAAATACAGCATCCTAAATATCAGTAACAGCACACCTCAACTAGGAACAATCCTGCCCAGGTACAGAACGGTGGATATGCTAGCTGTAGAATTCCTTTTCAGATTATATGCCCTGTGTTACAGGCATGTCCTCACAATGGCTTTTTGTTAACCTCCTTTGTAGTGTGCCTCTAGAGTATGGAAAGTATCTTTGTAGATGCCAATGACGGAAAGCCAGCTATGCAGACGACTTGATGAATGAAACTCCTACAATGGTCCCATTAATTATGTATACTGCTGGCCTAATAATGAATGGATCCGTTGGAATAAAATATCTGATTTCCTGAACTAAATCACTGAGTTGGATCTGGGCAAAGTTCCTACTGAAATCAAGGAGACCTAAGTTAGCCATGATTGCACATTGATTTCAACTAAGTGAAACTATACGTAGATCCAACTAACTCTCTCATATAGATGTCCTTTCCATTTTATGAGCATTGCAACAGAAAACAGTATTGATAACTCATCTGTACAAATCTACTGCCCCTAAGGCTCCAATCAGCGATTCCTATCTAAATATATGTATTTTTGCTCATTTAACACTACTGAGTGAGAACAGTAGAGTTAAACGCATTTAACGCATGGTTTTGCAATGCCCTTTCTTAATATGGATTTATCCTTAGACTCATTTGACCTATTTTGTATTAAGGTACCTCAAGTCAGCTCCTCAATCACCTCAACCCAAATACCCAAGGCATTACTGAAGATAATTGTGACTCACCTCTCCTTCTCGTGGCCATGGCCTCCCATTCTGCGTGTACTTGCTTTGATTCTGTCGTTTCTTTTGCCCTCCGTCAGCAAATTTGCACAGCAAAGGTTCTGTTGGGGCTGCGAAGAAAGGAAAAGCAAGGTCTGTATTAAGGCAAAGGCAAAGGACCCCTGGACGGTTGAGTCCAATCAAAGGCAACTATGGGTGATAGCCACTAACAGCCACTAATATCAAAGGCTATTGGTAACTGGCTATATGGAAACGTCATATTCAGAAGCACTATGGTAGGGGACAAAACAGAGAAAGGCTTTTGCATGCCTGTGAGCTTCTTGGATGATCTGTAGGCCAAGTCAGAAAAAAAAGTTACTAGACTACAAGGACCTTCAGTCCAAGGCAGCAAAGCTCTTCCTAGGTTGATAATAAAATTGCTCAACTGGAGTTGTAGGGTTAGCCATCTATTCTAGTTAAGACATTCGTGGCTGGCATTAGTTAAAGCATAAACACTGCCGCTCCCCCCCCTTTTTTTTCTTTTTGGTGGGGAAAGAAGAGAGTAGACAAGCTTGTCTGAGTAATATGTTTTCACTCTTCCTCTGTGTATCTCAGCACCCTGTGCTTACATATTTGAGTAAGTGAAATAAATACAAGGAGATCAAAGGAGGCTTTTGCCAAACAATCAAATTAGCTTAGTTCCCCCCATTAAATCCTTATAGCTTAAGACAGCTGGCAGATGACCTTCTTCATGTTCCCCAGCTGAGATCCCAGTCTTTCATCATAAAACAGTCAGCACAGCTAATGTACAACTGTTCAACGAATGTTCAAAAGGCTTCAGACCAAAAAACAACAACAACTCCTAACATGCTGGCATGAAATAGTACTGAAAAAGAAAACAAATTTATGAAAAAGACTGAGCAAGCATTCTTTCCCAATTCTTATTCTTCTTTTTTTTAAAAACAAACAAACAAACAAACAAACAAAACAGAGCTGTTTACTAATAAAATAAAAAACTTATTGATGAATGATCAAGAAATATCCTAAAAAATGTTAGATGAGGTATGGCTACGGAGAAATTTAGTTACATATTTGGTGGTCATTTCCAAAGGTAATTTGATATTGGGCAAGAATCCTTAGCTGTATAAAACTCATCCCAGAGTATATGATCCCCTTAAACCCACTTACAATTTTGTTGGATAACTTGGAGAAAGAATATTCCAAATACACAACATGAATAGGCATTTTGTTAACAGCAGCCAAATTTCAACCGGCTTACAACAGAGACTTGCCAACGTATCACTTATAATATATCTATGTAAATCAGAGTTCCTTTGCATCCTAATTTCCAGGATGATTTATTGGAGAAATGGCTCTCATTTCTGGTGACTGTAAAAAGGGATTTATAAAAGGACTGCTCGATTCAGTATTCTATTCCTTAAAAAATATAATCTGTTTAAAAGTTGTTGGTGAAGGTCATAGCAATTTGTAATATATGTTGTGCTAAGCTTTCAGTAAATTTGATCTCTGGTGACTCTGAATAGAGAATATGTAAGCAAAAATTGGTGGCTATGCTTGAAATGAGTGCTTAATGAAATGTTGGCTAATGCATTGTTATTTTGTAACTGCAAAATCTTCGGGTGGGGAGGGAGTGCATGTTTGTGTGTGCATATATGTATTATTTGAAAGGTTATTGGCCAGTTATAGCCCATGGAGAAGGATGTGATGTTGTGCCACTCTATATTCCACTGATTGCATTAAAAAGCAGTGGATTTCAATATTTTCCATAAGGTGTGTTTGTGCATGAGCAAGTGGTTTGTTTTTATTTGGGGATGTCACTGAAAGTCATTGTGATAAACTGAATGCGGACAAGTACTACACATATTGTACTAACAATCCTCAGATATATACAGTGGTACCTCTGGTTACGTACTTAATTCGTTCCGGAAGTCCGTTCTTAACCTGAAACTGTTCTCAACCTGAAGCACCACTTTAGCTAATGTGGCCTCCTGCTGCTGCTGCGCCGCCGGAGCACGATTTCTGTTCTCATCCTGAAGCAAAGTTCTTAATCCGAGGTACTATTTCTGGGTAGCGGAGTCTGTAACCTGAAGCATATGTAACCTGAAGCGTATGTAACCAGAGGTACCACTGTGCACTTCACGCAACAGATTAATTATGTCAATGATGCAAGCTGACACAATAAGATAGTACTGTACTTTTCGCACCATAACACGCAGTTTTCCCCCCTTAAAAAGTAAAGGGAAATGTGTGTGCGTGTTATGGAGCGAATACAGGCAGGAGGAGCCGCTCTTGCTGGCTGTTCGGCAGCCTCTTTTCCTCCGCTTGGCTCCCTGAGAAGCCGGTAACAGCTGAGCAACAGCTTGAGTGTCGGGAGACAGCCTCTCTCCCTCCTGTCTGCCTGCTCTATGGCTTTTTAGCCGAGGTGGGAGAAGGGAGGCAGCTTGGAAGCCGGCAAGAGCTGCCTGCAGCTGTAAAAGCCAAGGTGGGAGAAGGGAGACAGCCTCTCTCCCTCCTGTCTGCCTGCTCTATGGCTTTTTAGCGAGGTGGGAGAAGGGAGGCAGCTTGGAAGCCGGCAAGAGCTGCCTGCAGCTGTAAAAGCCAAGGTGGGAGAAGGGAGACAGCCTCTCTCCCTCCTGTCTGCCTGCTCTATGGCTTTTTAGCGAGGTGGGAGAAGGGAGGCAGCTTGGAAGCCGGCAAGAGCTGCCTGCAGCTGTAAAAGCCAAGGTGGGAGAAGGGAGACAGCCTCTCTCCCTCCTGTCTGCCTGCTCTATGGCTTTTTAGCGAGGTGGGAGAAGGGAGGCAGCTTGGAAGCCGGCAAGAGCTGCCTGCAGCTGTAAAAGCCAAGGTGGGAGAAGGGAGACAGCCTCTTTTTCTCAGTGTCTGCCTGCTCTATGGCTCTCCCTTACACACATGTAAGTGGCTCTTACTCTGCTTTCTTTACAATGAGCTGGAAGGAGGGACAAAGAGGGCATCCCCTTCCGTCCCTCCCCCAGCACCTCACCGGTAAATTCAAACAAAGCAGCTTACAAGGCTCGTGTCCCTGCATCTCCTCCTCTTTTTGCTTCAGTTCGAGGCAAGGCAGCTGCACAAATGTGAGTTCCCCCTCTCTCTTCCTTCCCTCCCTCCCTCCCTCTTCCAGCTTCAAAAAATATTGGGGAGATAGCCAGGTAAGCCCCACTCACATACCACAATGGGGGATGGGGGATGACTCCCTCAAATATTTAATGGGGGGGTGAAGGCACCTAGGCCCATAGGAGTTAGCTGCTTTGCCTAGGACAAATGTGAGCTCTCCATCTCTCTTCCCTCCCTCCCTCCCTCCCTCTTCCAATTTCAATAAAATATTGGGGGGGGGCAGGTACAGGTAAGCCCCATCTCACAGACTGCAATGATCTCAAGACAAAGTGCATGCACACTGGTACCTTATATGAATGGCAATGCCCATCAGCATGGGGGGAGGATGACTCCCTCAAATATTTAATGGAGGGGGTGAAGGCACCTAGGCCTATAGGAGTTGGCTGCTTTGCCTAGGACAAGTGCGAGCTCCCCCCCCCTTCCTTCATCACTGTATTGGAGATACCATACGTTACTGACAGTTCCTTCATTCACGTGGTTACAAAGCACGGATCCACATGGATCCTCAGGATTTTTGCATTGGGCTACCCCAAACTCATCGTTAGATCACATGTCTGTGGCCACAGCATGAACCACAAAAATCATACATCCACTGTTTTGTTTAGAATATTTTTTTCTTGTTTTCCTCCTCTAAAAACTATGTGCATGTTATGGTTGGGAGCGTGTTATAGAGCGAAAAATACGGTAATTTTTCAGTATTTATCTTTTCCTGTTTGGACCTCCAAGATTGTGGGAATTTAGAAATATATGGCTCAGGTGAGTCCTTACATAGAAACAAGTACAGTTGTACCTCGGGTTAAGTACTTAATTCATTCTGGAGGTCCGTTCTTAACCTGAAACTGTTCTTAACCTGAAGCACCACTTTAGCCGCCGGAGCACGATTTCTGTTCTTATCCTGAAGCACAGTTCTTAACCTGAAACACTGTTTCTGGGTTAGCCGAGTCTGTAACCTGAAGCGTATGTAACCTGAAGCATATGTAACCCGAGGTACCACTGTAGCTATAAAGCTCCGATTTCACTGATGTCGTTGCAGAACTCAAAATCATCTTTCAGTCCCAGTTTGCTGGTCACACCCCTAGGTAGGTTCGAGTTACAGAAAAATCACAGCTAAAAGACTCCTCAAAGAGCAATACAACAGCTGCTTTATGTTGAGGCAGTAGTTAAGACAAAAGAATTATTAACGGATTGGTTTCTAATCAACTCTGCGATTCTATGAATTCCAGACAGGTCATGATTTCAAAACCAGTTGGCCAGAAGGAAGGATGGGAAGGTAGTAGCTCCAAGAGCAAAGGAAATGTCAGAAGACCCAAATGCAGGAAGTCAAGCCCCACAACTAAATGGGATGCTATATGCATATCTGCATCTAACAGGCAGGTTTGCATCACCTTTGAGGCTCAATGTTCACAGGATGAGAGCAGGCGGAGAGGAGAAATAATTTAAATGATACCCAACAGGTTTTACCTGAGAGTGTTTATCTTTTGTAGTATAATAATAATAATAATAATAATAATAATAATAATAATAATAATTTATTTATACCCCGCCCATCTGGCTGGGTTTCCCCAGCCACTCCGGGTGGCTTCCAACAAAACATTAAAATACAACAATTCACCAGATTTTAAAAGCTTCCCTAAACAGGGCTGCTTTCAGATGTTTTCTAAAAGTTGGATAGTTGTTAATTTCCTTGACATCTGAAGGGAGGGTGTTCCACAAGACAGGCGCCACTACCGAGAAGGCCCTCTGTCTCACTTCTTGCAGTGAGGGAACTGCCAGAAGGCCCTTGGAGCTGGACCTCAGTGTCTGGGCTGAATGATGGATGTGGAGATGCTCCTTTGGTTATACAGGACCCAGGCTCTCGTCTTTTAATATAACATTTGTGTCCGTATACTTTCCTTCTAAGGTTGAAACCTATGCTATACACATTAAAACATTGTTTTAAAATATGTTGTTGTTGTTGTTGTTGGTACCCAACCCATCT